GCTTTGATTCATTTTGGGGGTGCTGAAGCACCTCCAAAAATGGGCTAAAATTGCCCCTGGTCTGTGTTATCTCTCATGCTTAGTCAGTTCTGTCTTTGTGGCTTAATTTTCTGTCAAGTTCAAGTGTCTTGGTTTCTGCATCAGAGTTACTTTGCTTTACTTTGACAGTCCCATGTCCGGTGTTCAGGTTTCTTTGACTGTTTTGTTTGTTAGATCATGTTCAGCTGTGTTGCCTTCTGTGGTTTGTTCCCTCTTTTGCCCTTGTGTGTATTTATGTCTGTGTCTCCCTCTGTCCTGCGCCGTGATCTCCCTCATTCTCCAGCTGTGTGTTTTGCTTGTTAGTTTAGGTTTCTACATCTGTTTAAGTGTGCAATGAAAAAACTCCAAGAGTAAATGCAGCTTTCAACTGGGGTCTTCACTTAAACAACAGCTAATGAAAAGAAAATCAACAAAAAACATGAGCAGAGTGAGCTCTAGCCTCGACGTGGGACTCATAAATCAAAAAATAATATAATAAATCCAGAGATTCAGCATCATTTCATAGATGCTGCTGATGATATATATAAATTTGGATGTAAAATTGATATATTTTTGAAAGATTTCTTTTTGCCATGATAATATGGTGCAGTGGTGTCACAGAGAGGTGTAAATGTGATTCACAGAAAGTGACTAAACACATGGAACATGACATTGTTATCATAAGGTGCTGCATTTCATTTAAGGGTCCAAATGCAGGCAGTCCTAAGGTCCCAGCAGACAATGCTCTCCCAGGTGATGCAATAAAGTATGATGTCCAGGTGTCAGTGAAAAAGAGGATTTTCAGCATGTCACTGCAGGTTATAGCATTACTGTTACTGTTTCAGGGTGTTAGAAGTGTTGTCATTTGCCATGAAGTTTTTCTTTTGTTTTTTGTTTTTTGTTTGTTAGAAACTTTTAGCAGTTTCCAGCAGCTCTGTGGTCATCTTTCTTGTTTTGGAAAAACACCCACCATTAACAGCAGAGAAACACAATTTACCGCAAAGAGGCATAAAGAGACGTATACGTTATCGCTCTTATCAGCTTTGTGCTGAGAAATGTCACTTACGTGTCAGACGTCAGTGCAGTGGAAACTGCAGAAGGAAGTAGTTGCTGTGGTTTTATATACGCAACATGCAAACATACACAAAAGCAAACTCTTGACATTCAGTCACCTCAAGGCGCTTTATATTGTAAGGTACAGAGCCTACAGCAGGGGTAGGCAACTCCAGGCCTCGAGTGCCGGTGTCCTGCAGGTTTGAGATGTGTCCTTGATCCAACACAGCTGATTCAGATGGCTAAATTACCTCAACACCTCCTCAACATAACTTGAAGTTCTCCAGAGGCCTGCTAATGAACTAATCATTTGATTCTGGTGTGTTGACCCAGGGTGAGATCTAAAACCTGCAGGACCCCGGCACTCGAGGCCTGGAGTTGCCTACCCCTGGCCTACAGTAATGCAAAGAAAACGCCAACCATCAGACAACTCCCATTGAGCAAGCACTTGGTGACAGTGGGAAGGAAAAACCTAACAGGAAGTAACCGTTGGAAGAACCAGGCTCAGAGAGACCATATTATTGAAATAATAAAAGTTGCATTTTTTCCTATATCATCAAAAGCCACAAAGACAATATTGCAATTTTAAAATTTAAAGCTTTTTTTTTTTGTTTTTTTTGTTTTTAATAGAAGAAGTTTTCAGAAACAACTCGAGATTTTGTATTTATTTTTTTATTAATTTGATCATTAGACTGATTAAGCTTCAGATTAATGAGCTTCAGATTCAGCTACTTAGCTAATAGGTGAAAGCTAGCAACATAAACTGGTGCTATCTGTGTGGGGGTGGGTTTGTGCTCAGTTTAGACTCGTAATGATATCTCAGCAGAATCTACTGTGGCTCATGAGAACTTGGAATTCATGACTCATGACATGGTTTCACTGGTCTAATCTGACTCTAAAATCAAATATAACTCTTTTTATTTCAAAAAAGTAGAACTTTGCATAATAACTCATGGATTTAATTCTACAATTTCCAGTCTAAGAGCTTGGAAACAAAAGCGTCTGGACTTCTAATACTTAAGATACTTTCTTAAGTATTTCTTTAAGTGGCTTGAAGACGTTTCACCTCTCATCCGAGAAGCTTCTTCAGTTCAGTTCTACAATTTCCACCTCTTTCCTGCTGCTCTCACTCTCCTGGGTTGCTTGTGTTGTCATTCTTGTCCCCATGCTAAAGTTCACCTGAGCTCGAAAAGTCTTACAGAGGAAAAAGTAAACAAGAGGGTCCAGACAGACGTTTAAAACTGACAAGATGGTGGTCACTTCCTTCGAGTAGTACAATAGCTGACCCACAGAGCAGCTGGTCCACAAAAAGGTATAGGGAAGACGAGCCAGGTGATAGGGCACAAAACAAACACAGAAGATGCTGACCAGCACCAACATGTTCCTGCGAGACTTCACCAGCTTGTCAGTGCTGAAGGAGGCCAGCTGCCTCTGCTGTGCCTGCAACACCCTGCGGGAGGTGCTGTAGTAGAAGAAGACCAGGAATATGAAGACTAAGAGGAAGATGATGGTGCAACTGATTTGAAATGTTTTATGAAGGACGCTGAATGACGTACTGAAGAGGGGCCCACAGTAGCCAGGGTCAAAGGTCAGAGGTTTGTGAGTGATGAAGAACATAATGTTGTAGGTGATTGTTGGAGCCAGGAGAAAAGCCCAGGTGACCGTGGAGACGATGTGGGCAGTTCGTACTGTCTGCAGGATGTGAGTTCCTGAAGGATGGATGATTGTCAGATACCTGCAGAGAAAAGAGAAAGGAGGCGGTAGAGAGCTTCAATCATTAGTAAAAGTGGTGCGGATATGTTTTTACTGTTGAGGTGAAAGGAGTTGTTGATGCTTTAGTCAGGAGCACAGAATTTGTAGTTCAGCCACTAATCTAGTTTAAACATTGTCATGAATTCAAGTCTGAAATCAGTAAAAGTTCCTTACCTGTTGGCAGCGATGTACCCCATGAATATGATGCTGGCGTACATGTTGAGGTACAGGGAAGTAGCTCCAAAGCTGCAGTAGAGCTCCCGAAAGATAACAGACCTGCTGGCATAATCAGTGACACGCATCGGCAAAGAGACGCACAGCAGGAAGTCAGCAGCTGTCAGGTTCTTCAGGTAGACCATCAAGCTCCTCGATGCCTGCTGCCTAGCTTGGCAACAGTAAAACTTTATGATGAAGCCATTGAGGAGTAAACCCACCTGATAAGACAGAGACAGAAGAGATCCTGTTTGTGTGGAATCTGAACCAGGTGAGGGAGATCCTTAATCCATAATCTGAAGATTTGAAACGTACCAGAAACACTAGACTGTAGACCAGCATAAAGAAAGGGTTGACTGATGGGACAACCAGATCACACGTCCGGTTGACAGATGAAGTCACGGGTTTTAGGTCATCCATGTTTCTGGAGCTGTAAAAAAAAGTCCCAGCTACAGATATTTGTTTTTGGAGCAAATTTAAAAGAAAAGTTTTTTCCCTTTAAATTGCTTTACTTTTCTACTGTCTTATCATGTTCATACAATTCATTTCACAACCGTTGTCTGTGGCTGTTTTGTGATGGAATTTAATTTTATTAATAAAGCACCAAATTTAAACAGTCGCCTCAAGCTTTGTTGTGTTGTATGAGATGGCCCTGCCTGTCCTGTGATGCACCTGTACTGTCTCAATCAACCAACTGATCAATCAATCATCTCCTCTCATGAGTCTTATTAGGTGTAATTATCCTTTAAGTACAGTCTGAGAAGGAGGAGTGTGAATAATGACTCACGGCTCTGTAAAGTACTATTGGCTTCTGACACACAAACACCAGCATTGTTTTAATTCATTATTACACACAAAAGCCACTCAGTGTCTAAAACACAGGACAGGAACATAAGAGCAATAACTCAGCAACATGAATCAGTAACAAAAGAGAAACCATGGACTGATTCATGATCAGCATAACGGACAAAAAAAAAAACCTGTGTTTATGCAGTTTTCAGCTTAGAGCAGGAAAAACTGGTCGTGTCATTATGCCCTCTTGAAGATAAGGAAACACGCACTTGTAGCGTGAAGTCTGAGTTATTCCCCGTTTCTCTTTGTTGCTAAACTGGCGCAATGCATTTCACATGTGGAAAAAAGACAATTTTCTGTTGAGTTGTAATTTAAAAGTTGTATATTTATTGTACACTTCATTTGCAATAATGCTCAGAAACAACCAGTTGATCTGAGGAAAATCTGTCTGAGGTTTAACCAAAATGTAACAAAACAAAATGTAACAGAACCTTGGAAAATAAAATGGATGGTTGAGGTATTAATACTGTACATAATTTATAATGGTTAGCTACTTTGGTTTTCAGGTCTTTGCTTGTCTTTTGATGTTATCTTGGATTTCATCAGTTAGAAAGCTCAACAAAACCATCCCCACCAGCTGCACCATCATCTTTCTGTTCTTCTACTACAGTACTTCATACAGACTGCTGCTGCTGACACAGCAGAGCCATTTGGCCTCTTCTGCCTGTTGAACCAGTGCCATAGATGAGCAAGAAAAAAACATATTCTCCTGCTGGATGCTCCTGACTGTGGCAGGTGGTGTTTTGTGGCTCAGCTGCACTGGAGGGATGGAGCATTTGGCTCAGCATCAGAGGTCAGGGGATGCTGTCCTACAAAACTGACCCCTCATCTCATCATCTCCACCTTGCCAGTTAGATGTCTGTGAAGGTTCTCAATCATCCAGGTCATCGTAGTCTAAGGAGCTTGGAAAGAAAAGTATCTGGACTTGTTTAAGTTGCTTGAAGACGTTTCACCTCTCATCCGAGAAGCTCCTTCAGTTCTAAGGTCAAATGGTGGAGAGTCCCAGATTTAAACCCAGTGGGAGTTTCCCCCGCAAAGAGGGACAAAGGACCCCCGATGACCCTCTACCTAATCACATGAGTCGAGGTGTGAAAACGGGTGTGGGTCACAATCAGCCAGGGTTTTGGGTGAGCTCATTGTGAAACCTGGACCCACCCTATCATGTGATTTCCTGAGGTCAGATGGCCCAGGATGTGAGTGGGCGTTAAGGCGTCTGGGAAGGGATCTCAAAACTGGATTATAGATGGCAGACAGTTGGTGTCGTAACCACCGCCTCTGTTCAAGGATACCAGTTGGACACCACCCACTGGATTCCATTGGTTGGGCTGGTGGACTCCACCAGAAACATGGCCTGTGTGTTTCGTTTATAGGAGTGAAAATGATAGAAAAAGGAAATTTAATGAATTTAACGAGATTTATTAATCTCGTTTTCTTCTTTTTTAGGCTACTAGCCAGGTCTCTCTTCTAGGGATGGGTATCGTTTAGGTTTTATCCGATACCAGTGCCAAACCCGTACTTTTGAAACGGTGCATTTCTCGGCTTTTAAAAAAACGCTATACGTCTCAAGGTTTGTCATCAGATTCGAGGCGTTTCCTTCTTTGCACAGTATCAGCTTAAAGCACTTCTTGCAGGCTGCTGAGTTTGCATATTTTGCTGTGAAGCACAGCCAGACTTCACTTCGCCTTGGGCATTTTTAGTCTGTAGCTCTGCTCTAAAAGAACGTGCGTACCTGGGCCCGCCTACTATCCTTGGAAAGGTAAAGTGATTGGCTAGAATCCAAAGTGTATGACGTCTCAGGAAAAAAGGCACCGAAATGTGCGCTGCTTTTCGATCTGGTTACCCATCCCTACTCTCTACTGCCATGGAGGACTTCATGAAGAATGCAATTAAAAGGAAATTGTAAACATCCTGAGCATCAAATAAACTCATACATTCAAAAAATATTTCAAATTTCACCAAAACCACAGGGTCTCAAGAAAACCGGAAAACAATAAACATCCTTTCAACTTCACTAATCCAATTTAAACAGTGAACGTCACCTCCTCTATACCTCCTACCACAGTGGATTTTTCCTTCCCACAAATTGGTTCCTCTTCTGAGGACAAAAACAATAATAATGATGAAACTTTCCCAACACAAAAGCCCAAGCAGACTTCTTGTTGTCTCTTTTACTCACCACAGTATTGAGTCCAGTCAGACCAGCGATTCCACCTGGATTTGCTCTATGATCCTACAGGTGATGAAACTAAAACTATAAAAGACATATTCTCAAAATCCCAGTTCTTCATTTAAACGAAAGCGAATCAAAACGGCAGCAGAAAATGGGAAGTCTCTGGACTGGCCTCCTTCATGACAGTCCGAGGTTTCAGACTTTCAATACACTTCCTGTGTTGGCAACATTAACGTATAATTCATCAATCATAAAATCAGCAGAAATCCACAGATTCTGCTTCATTGCATTTCAGTTCACTAAAGATGAGACGCTTTTTTTAAAGATCTATTTTTGGCGTGATGATTTGATGAAGCTCTCGTTACTGAATACATGTAGTGTTATTGGTGGTCATTTCTGTGCTTGGCTGTTATAGATGATATTTTTTTTAGATTAGCTTAGATTTTTTAGTTTGTTTGGTTGTTGTTGTTTGTTTTGTTTGTTTCTTCTAAATGAATAAAACACTGGATAAGATCATAAAGTGCTGAATGTCATTCAGGGCCCAAATGCCGGCAGTCCTAAGTGCTAGAGCCACCGTGACTGAGTGAAAATGGTCCAAATTCTTTCAGCTCCAATAAGTTTCTGAGTGTCAATGTTCTCCAAAATATTGCATTAAAGTTTAATGTCTGGGTGTCACTAAAAAAGAGGTGGTAGCAGTAGTGTTATTGTACAATGTACGCTAAAAGAAGACAGTTCTTATTCATGAAGCATCATGAAAAGTATTCTTTTCAACCTGTCAGCAGTTTCCAGCCACACTGTGTCATCTTTCCAGTTGTACATCATGTACGCTCTTATCGCCTCTGTGCTGAGAAATGTCACTGATGATTCAGACATCACTTCAGTGGAAACAGGAGGAGGAAGTAGCTGCTGTGGTTTCACTCAAACATACAAAACCATAAAATCTGTTCGTGTTTTTGAAATACACTGTGAAATACAGAGAATCCACATTGTTCATTCAAATCTATTTAAAAAATTGAGTCTAAACAAGTATCAACTAAGCAGTAGAGAGTGA